GACTGGGATGAGGGAAAGAAGAAAAAAGAAAGAAGGAAGGCAAAATATAAATATATATATATAAATGAATAGCTGCAATAACTGTATTGCTGATGTCTGATGGTATATTGAAATGAACAGTTAATGCTCACAGTTTTTTGTTTTGATTTGATCAAGTTTGTACACTTGTGTCTGGTGGTCTGAGCAACTGATCTGAAGGTAATAATATGCAATGGAATTACAGTGGTGAACTCCTACCATCCTGTCTAGTGAAACTCTGTATTATCTCTACTGTTTTATCAAAGAATTATTTTCTTATTCCCTATGATGGATTGAGCAATCTTTCAATCTTACATCTGATAATCTGAGCAATGTAGTTGAGGATAGCAATATGTAATGTAACAACCACTGTGATTCGTATTATTTTGTCTTGAGACCCTGTATCAGTTTGAATGTTCTTGCTTTGATTTGTTTATGTTTGTGATACTGGTATGCTGCTACTTTTGTTTGTTTCTCATTGACTACTCTCTTTAAAATGAAAAATAAAAACTAGAAAAAGAAAAATGGAAACAATACATGTTAGTACTGTATAGCACAAAAATATAAAGAAAAAAATATCCATACTTAAAAATCAGGAATATCTCTTACATTGAAGCCCTAGAATCATTATTATTTTATCTAACTCTATACTTCCTTTTACTTTAGATAGAACTTGGATCCTGTTATCAGATAGTAATACCATGAAGCTCTGGTCAAGCTTAACCTGTAGATCTTTTCCTGCTATTCCTCCAAACAATAAAAAGCCTGTAACCCAGACACCTCCACATACTTTTGCCATTCAGGCTGTCTTCCTGTTTTGTTTGTTCGTCTTTGTTTTGTGATGGGCAATGAACCCAAAACATCACACAAGCTGAGCGTCTGCTCTACCACTGAGCTACAGCCTCAGCCTAAGAGCTTAGTTCTCAGAAACAAATAGTTCTCTTTCTCTGTGTTTAAGAAGCAACTGCTGATTCTATTTGTAACACTTATGAAATAAAGTGAGTACAGACAAGGATTTAGCTAGACAATCAGTCAAGAGATGTTCATTTATAATAGCAACAAATATATAAATTTTATAAGATATTTTTAATAATTGTAATTGGTATATATGTACTGTCTAACAATAAGAATTATTTACATTATTATGGCACAGAAGAATGCTGGGAAGTTTCTAGAATTACCTCATAAATGTTTTATAACCAAAAAAGTCAATCACAATATTTTATTAATATAAAAAACTCAATTTACAAAACAGTATTACTCAGTTATCTGTTATATTTTAAATGTACTTAAAATATTATGTAAATATAGGGATCTGTTCAGATATAAAATGACAAAAAGCAAAATATTATTGGTATTCCTCTGTAGCGTACCTAAACACATTGGCCCAAACATGTATTGTTTTTGTAACACTAACACAATGAAGTGTTTTTCAAAAGTAAGATATTTAATCCAGTTTTCCTAACCTACTTTGTGGGGTTTTTCCCTCTACAGGTTTGTGAAAAAAATATCCAGACTGAGAGGCAAAACCCTGTGTCTACATCATTCATATATATTTGTTTCTCCTCTAATGGGAAAAACACCTGCTTTAAAGTCTGATTCCATATCATTCATTAGAAACACATTTCTAGTTAAAGAAAACTTTTAATGTGATTTTTTTCCTCTAAAATCTCCATCCTTACTTTCCATTCATCCAAGTAAGAAAATGGCCAGGCACTTCCATCTGGGGAAGGGAGTGTGGAACAGGAGTGGTATATGAGGAAAGGGAGTGGTATAAATGAATACACAAGAGGCAGAAGTAGATTGTCCCCCTGAACCTAAGGGTTAGGATGCAAAACTTCCTAGGTTTCAGCCGAAGCTCATTTCCTCTTTAGGGAGGGAATATGAGCCTCCCCAGGCTCATTCCCAGGGAGGTAACTTACTCCCCAGGAGGCCTAGGGAGGTTGGACCCCACAAGCACTGTGTCCTGTGTAGAGAGTACCAGGATCACAGCCTCTTTCAAAGGACCACGTAGGCCTAGGCCACAATGAACTGGAGACCAGAACCCTCCTTGGTAGTCTATTAGCACCCTGGACTCTCCTGGCAGCCTGGGAGTGGGGGCAAACAACAAAAAAGACTACAGATCAAGCTCACAAGTTAGTGATAGATATCTCATGGTCAGATTTTTCTTTTAATTAAAGAAATATGAGATTTGTTGAAATTCAAGCTTTAAAGCTTGAGCCACATTTTTACAGTAGCAGTTCCTATGTGTCCCTACAATTTAAATAACAAGTGACAGATACTCAAAAACAATAAAAAAAGTTTATTGAAAGAACTAATGTAAAAATGTTAAAATATAAACATACGATAGTATATTTTTACCATGATCAGTAACACTTCCTGATTCAAGTGAAAGTCTAAAATGCTAGAAATTAATAGTTCATCCTCATAGTTTTTGAAGTACTTGCTTAAGCTGCAGTGTGAATGTTCGCCTTAAATAACTAAAATCTGTGAGGTCTAAACAAAATACATACAGCCATAATATAATTACTTCTCAAGATGTTAAAGAAGCTCCTATTTCTCTTTCAGAAGACCTCTCTCTTGGGAAAAATGCCGTGCACTCTGCATATGATGAAACTTAAAAGATACACAGTAGGAATCTCAGTCTGGCCAAATGAAGGCTATGAAGGAACAGAGAGAAATTCCACAAAATCATCAAGGGAAGAGTGACTTTGACTTTAATTTACCACATACAGAACTTATCAGAGGCAGATGCAGATTTCATGGAGCCAGAAGCTCATCTAATGTGGGGAACTACTTTAAGAAAAATTATTAGAGAATTTCTCAAATTTGCAAAATACAAATGCATGCATTTAGAATAAGAAAAACTATCATGAAAAATTCCTGATGACTTAGAAACTCTGGTATCTTTCCTCTGTGATCTCTGTAGCCATTTCACCTGCATACTAAAATAAAAATGCTTGTTAATTACAACCTGTCCTCCCTGTCCTATAGAACAGTCTACAACCCCCATGACCTCATGGGCACTTATATAAGTAAGAGACCCTGAAGATTATGCTACATTAACTATCTGTAAAATCTATCTTAGAAGAACCCCATGAAACCAGAATTACTTTAAATAGTAGTAGGAAATGTAGGAACCTAGATTCAAAAAAGTGCTAAATTTCCTCCAAAATGTACATGGGTAGAGAAAACTGAAGAAGGTCATTGTGGTCAGTTATATTGATCCAGCAGAGAGGCCTGAAGTAACAGAAGACCAAGGTCAACAATAAACTCTGGCACTGACCAGTCATGGCCAAGATCCATTCCCTGGACCTCACTAGCCCTTGGTTCCTTTCTTTAAAATACGAGTAAAAATATCCATCCCGCTGACCTGGCAAATTTGTTTCAAAAATTAAATGAGATCAGCTAGGAAGATGTGGCGTGACAAACACAACAAAAATGCTACTCAGATGCTGCTACAATCACCATCACCATGGACTGACTGCCATCTTGGAAGACTATCCTGACATCCTGACAAAGCCCTGGGGGGCTGTTAGAATCAAAGTCCAGAGTAAAATGAGGGATTATGTACTGTGTGTACATGTTTTATAAATTAAGTGAATCCCCAGTGGCAATCAAACCCTTGGAAAGAGAAAACAGAATGAGAATGAGGACTTCCAATAAGCTAGGTAGGTATGTGATGGTCATTCTCATGCCCAGGGATGGTTACCTGCTTCTCAGTCATGGCCTGTTCATACTCAGCCTGTACCACATCAAGCTCCGCCTGCTTTTCATCCAGCTCAGCCTGGGCTTTCTGCAGATCCTGCATGGCCAGGACATGACGATTCTCCTGTACCACCAAGTTGGCCTGCAGAGGACACACAGTGCAAAGGGAAACTAAGAACACTTGAAAAACTAAGAACCCAGCAGTGTCACCTGTGTACACCTTTTCTTTGTCCCACCCCTAGGGGCTTTTCAAATTGCAATAAGACCAAATGTTAATGTGAATTTGACTTCCGTGTTTATGAGAATAAATTGACACTTCATTAGAACAGAGATCAGCAAATTTTTTTCAGTAAAGTGCCAGATAGTGAATATTTCAGGCTTTTTACCCCAAGAGGTAACATCAAAGCTATTAAGTACTTAAGTAAATGCTATTTTAAAATGTAAAAAGTGAATGTTTAAATCATTTTAAAAAGTAAAAGCTATTCTTACTTCATGAATAAACAAATATAGATGATGGGCTGGATCTAGCCCATGGGCCATAGTTTTCACATCCCAGACCGGAACTCATAATACTAAATATACACAGGCAAACTGTGATGTTATGTGCAATAAAAATAGAAAAAAAGTGGTCCTCAAGTTACGATTATTACAACATTTGACTTAGGATTGTTCAACTTTATGATGGTGTCAAAACAACACATATTCATCTGGTAGAAACCGTATTTTGAATTTTGAATTCTGATCTCTTCCTAGGTTAGGGATGTGCAGTGTGATACTCTCTCGAGCACGTGGGTAGCAGCAGCGAAGCACAGCTTGAAGTCAGTCACATGATCATCAGAGCAAATTACTGACACCCTGCAGTGTATGTATGTCTATTTGACTTACAATATACAATTAATATGCAAAAAATCATTAAGGCATGAGTCATAGTCAAACCATCTTTAATTCTACCAAAATAGAATCAAAAGACAACATCTAAAACTAACATTAACAAAAAAGATGTGGAAAATAGTCCAATAGTCCAATGCTTATTGGAAATTAGATCCTTTAAAAATTTTTTTAAATCAAATTTTTCCCTTTTAAGTCTACAGAAAAAGGCATATTTTTTCTGAGGATTAAGAAGCAAAGATTATTTTCAGAAATATTTTTAAGTCACATTATTTTTTTATTTCAAAACTCCAGGCTTCCAATTTTTGTAGATAGAACTTATTTTTAAGGGAAATTTCAGAGTTCTATAAATGGTGAGAACCAGTGACAGATAAAAGCATGGCTTAAAAATTAGTGTTCAAGAGCAACTGACAAGATCTTGGGAAAAGACTGGTCTCAGGGAGGGAGGGAGTCTGCCCTTCAGACTCATGGAGCATCATGGCTTTAATAAATCCACAGTCACACTGTCCTCCAACCTCAGCACTGTGAAGTTAGACAGTTCCAATCCAGAAAGTGAGCATAAAATTTAACCACCGCACACCAACTTATCCACCTCACCATGGAAGGTTTTCCCAACACAGATAATAACCGTAAAAATAAGTAGCCTTTTCCTTTCACATACCACAGGAGTGCTGTACATGGAACATTCCATGCCCTATCCAAGACTGTGGGCTGCCTGCCACAGCAAACAACACCTTAAGAGACACATGGGCATCAAACAAGAATCCACAAAACACGCAAGAATGTCCTACCCAGAGACATTCAACCCAACAAAGCCAAAAAGTGAGAGGGAATGACTGCAGCAAGAAATGCAAGTAGTTAAACAAAAGGAAAAATAAAGGACTCAACAACATAAAAACTCCGTGACAGAAACAAACCAATACCTTTCAGTAACAACTCAGTGTGAATGCCCTCAAATCCCCATTTAACAGACACAGACTGGCAGATGGTATGAAAAAGCAGAATCCAATAGTCTGTTGTATTCCAGAAGCTCATCTAATCCAAAAAGAAATTCACAGACAAAAATCAAAGGAAGGAAAATAATATTACAGGCACCAAGACCCTGAAAGCAGGCAGGTACATAGTAATTTTCCTCTTAGAGAAAGTAAGTTTCAAGCTGAAATTGATCATCACTGGCTATTAAAGAATGTATATTTAAAGAACACTGAGATTTTACCTTACTCCAGAAAGAATGGCAATCACCTAGAAATCAAATAATAACAAATGCTGGTGAGGCTGTAGTGAAAAATGAATTTCCATATATCATTGGTGGAAATGTAAAATGGTGCATCCATTAGAGAAATCAGTATAGAAATTCCCCAAAAAATTAAAAATAGAAATCCATTCAACCCAGCTATTCTTCTATGAGGTATCTTCCAAAAAGACTTAAAGATGTCATATTATGCTTACACATGCACACCAATGTTTATTTCAGCACAATTCATAATAGCCAAATCTTGGAAGCAGCCTATATGTCCATCCATCAACTGAAAAATAATTTGTGAAAATGTGGTTTGTATGCACATTTGAATACTAATCTGCTATAAAGGATAAATTTGATTCTTCTGTTGGAAAATAGATGCACCTTGAAAATATTAAGTGAAATAAATCAGACACAGAGCTTAAAAAATGTATGGGTTCTGTTATTTGAGAAATCCAAAAGATAAATAAAATGCAAAATAAGGGATAGATAAAAAGAAACAGGGGGACAGAGCTACTGTAAATGGGAAGGGTACAGGAAGATAAAGGGAGCAGATAGGGAAAGGGAATGTAAAAAGTTTAAGATATGTCATGTACATGTACCAAACACCAACAATGAAAATAGTCACTGTGTATTGAAAACATGACTAACAAATAAATAAATTAAAGGAAAATTTTAAAAAGCTATGGAGAAAGAAGTTCTTTCCATGATAAATAGTACCTTAATAAATTCATGACAACTAAACCAGCACTCCAGAAATTTATCAAGTATATCCTAGAAAGAGACAACAAAACCAATGAGGCCAAAAAGACCAGCTAAGTGGAAGGATCAGGTAGGATGAGCAGTTAAGCAGAAAGGAGAAAAATGGAATCAGATATAGGAAAATAACAAAACGGTAGAAATAAGTCAAAACTTTTTGGAAGTAATTCTCAGTGTGAATGGTCTCAACTCTCCAATCAAAAGACACAGATTGGTAGAAAAATGAAGAAACAAAACCTAATGCTACACTGCATACAAAAAGCATATTTAATCAAAAAATAAATTTATAGATTAAAAATCAAATCATGGAAAACAATATAATGTGCAACAAGAGACTAAAAACAAGCAGGAAAGCTGTCCTATTTTCAGGCAAAGTTGATGTGAAGCTAAAACTGATCAGAAGAGAAAAAGAAAACCACTATATATTGATTAAGGAAACAAGTTAACAGGAAGAGATAAAAATTGTAAATAAATATGCACCAAACACTGGTACCCCCAACTTCACAAAACAAATGCTACTGGACACAACGTATCAGATAAATATTAACACAGTTACAGTAAGGAATATCAATACCTCACTGTCACAAATAGTCAGATGAACTAGACAAAAATATCAACAAGAACACATCAGAATTGAACCACACTAGTACAACCACCACAGAAACTAGTATGGAAATTCATCAAAAAACTAAAAATAGAAATCACACTTGACCAGTTGTCTCCCTTCTAGCTTTCTTCCCAAAAGAAAGATATATGGTAGTGATATATGCACACCCATATTGATAGCAGCAAAACACAAATAGCTAAACCTTGGAAGTGGCTTATCTGTCCATCAACACATACATGGATAAAGAAAATGTGCTATTTATACATGATGAGGTACTACTCTGCTATAAAAAAGGATAACTTTGAGTCTTTTGTAGGAAAATGGATGCACCTAAAGACTATAATGTTATAAGAAATAAATCAGACACACAAACCTAAATATTGCCTGATTTCACTCACATGACAATCCAAAAGTATAAATAATTTAAGAAGCAAAAAGAGGATATGTAATAGGAAACAAGAAGCTAGATCTTTTGCGAATGGTAGGGGCCTGAGAGATGGAGGAGAGGGGAGACCAAGGAAGAAAAGGGAGGTAAAAAGACTTAAAATGTGCTGTGTACATGAACATATGTGTGATGTGTGATGGTGAATGTAATCATGTACAGTATACATGTACTGATACAATTTTAAAATTCTTTTAAATTGAGTTATGCAATTTTTCTGCTGTACTCTAAGCTGCAATTCTTGCTATGCATCAAACATAAAAGAAAAACAAAGCAACTGTGTCATAGACCTTACTAAAAGTAACCTTCTAATGTCACTCTATCACTACCTAAAAAGTGTTTAAGAATTTCTAGTAGTGTGCTTAAAAAATAAATAAATTTTAAGCAACACTCTCAAAATTGCTAACCAGAACATTCAAATCTAACAGCCCAACTTAAAGGTTTAGAATCTCATATATGTAACTTAAAGAGTAAGCCCCAGTTTCTCTTCTAAAGTAATGCAAAAATCTACCTCCTAGGATTTTTTGTAATAATTAAATAATATAACCTGTAAAGACTAAATCTAGTACCTGACACATAACAAGAGTTTGATAAATAACAGATATTGTTATTATTATCTGTGTTCACTATTTGAGGCTCTAGTTTTTTAAACATAGTGTTTGGATGGGCAGATATTTATTGGTTCATGTAGACTTTGCAGGGAGAGATCTCATTTCATGAGTTTGACTACAATTAGAATTGATGCAGTGAATATTTGTTTAAATGTGCTCACTAACAGGATTCAATTGGTTCATCTATAAAGATTACAAAATAAAAAAGAAAACTCCCTCTGTTATGGTTACCAGCTGTTGCCAAGGCCTTCTCTGCTTCTGGAGTTCAGAGAATTATCTTTGACCTCTCCTCACTTATCTAGCAGGAGTTTGAAAGTGAAGCCTCTCCAGGAATAAATGGAGCTTAAGACCTGGGTCTGTATTCCTTCATAAGTGGTACCTTACTTCTTAATTCATCCCATAATTCTGGAAAAGATGGCCACATTCGTATTCATACAGGAAATATGGCCACGGTCGTGTTTGTCACCCTTACAGAGTTCAAAAATAAAAACAATTTTGCCAAATGATTTTTTAGTGAATGAAGGTACCACTGTATTTAGCAGCATAGTTTGGTGACAACCTGCACTCCCTTAATCTTCTACTTCTTCTTAGGGAAGAGAACCTATAGAATCTACATAACTGGATGCATTTTTCTGACTGACGTAAAAGGAATCTGACAAGCTAAATGGTCCAAGATGCTGGATGCTCACAACGTTATAGGAGGGTACTTCTGAGATAGATTTCTCAGAAGAAGCACAGCATTAAGAGTAAGCAAAAGCCTCCCCTCCAATAGTGTTCCCTTCAATTCCAGCTGTGTGGTCTATGTAGTCCTGGCACTGGGTGGAGAACAAAAAATGGAAGGTTTATGGCTTATTTGCAGATGTCCTCCCAAAGCCTCATGCTTTCACATGTGAGGTTTCTGAGAGCAACCAGATCGTGGATATGTGATACTGGATCAACCCACTGATTGGTTTAGCACAGTTCTGGGTGTGGATGATGGATTTAGCAAAGAGGAAAGACCCACCCTGGGAGTGGGTAGTACCAACCAATAGAATTTATAGCCTCGATGGAATAAAAAAGGAAAGAAGAATGAAGTCCCTGCTCCCTCCTGCCTGCCCTACCATGAACTATTTCTCTCTACTGTGCCCCTCTGCCATATGGCCCTGCCTTGGAGCCAGTTGAATATGGACTGAAAATTCTACAAACTGTGAGCCAAAATAAACCTTTTTCTAACTCGTGGGTGTCAGGTATATTGTCCCAGCACTGAGAATTTAAGTAAGGTAGAAAATGTTGAATATGAGGAAAGAAATCTCATTCTTCTTATGTAAGCCTTAAAATATCCGTATTTAATAATATTAGCTTAAAATAACTATAATAAAACAAAATTTACACATTGCAAACTCAGCTATGTGTGCCTTCTCACTGGAAAAAATGTGCAAAGGATGCCCCGTACTTTTCATTTGATGTGGTGATTATAATTTAGTATCAGAATATCCACTTCTAGCTATGCTGGAGTTTTCACTGGTCCCAGTAGCCATGTTAGACAACAAGGTACAAATTAGTTGCCCTAAAATTATCTGAATCAAATAATTCTTTGTCCTTTAAATTGTCCTATGACCTCAAGAGCCCCAACTATTAAACAGATGGCTTTGATGTGGTAACAAGTAGAAAATATATTGTGTCTTGCAACTCAATACCTAAACTTCAGCTAGTCTTGGTTATTTTTACCATGTTTTAAGTGTCTTGGGATTCTAGTTGGGAAAGATCAAACTTATACAGAAACAAAATGACCAAACAAGCCATACGTTCTGATGTTCTGAGACATCAGTGTTTCATTTTCAGAAACAGCACTTGCCTCTCCACTTGAGAAGACTGAATGTCTTTTAATGGTGGGAGTGTATATAACAATGAAGTCTTAAAATTTAATTACTCAAATGGAAACACAGCATTGATGGTTAAGCTTAACTACTTATTTGACGGGCTTAGGAGACCCCTAGGATTAGTAAAGCAACTTCCAGGTGTGTGTAGGTGGGCCACGGCATCTCTATCAGTCCCTCACCCCTTCCTCTCTGGTGCTGTCTCCCTTCTCTGCTTCACAGCTGCTGTGAACTTTGCTCCACTGGGCCCCTCTGCCATGAGGTTTCCACCTCAGAGCCAGCTAGCCATAGACTGCATCTCCAGAAACCATGAACCAGGTTACACCTCTCCTCCTTCTTGTGCTTGTCAGGTGTTGTGTGCCAGCCACAGGGAAGCAAATACAACAGGTACAGTTCCCAAGTCACATCAGTAAGAAGTAGATGATAGTCCTTTATAAGGGACAAAGGACGATTAGTGGAAGATTATACTTACCTTAAACCAGGACCAGCTTTCAGCATTTTCCAAACTCCAGCATCTGTATCTTGACCCTGCCTCATTCATAGGATTCCCTAGCTCAAGATTTTGAACTTTGGTGGGCAATTCTATTACAATTTTCTGCGTTTTCTTTTAAAATGGCATTATGAATGAAAAATATCCTGTAACCCACAAAGAAGTTAAGGTCCTTGTAGAGAGTAAGTCCAATGCTTAAAAGCTCATACAATTCTGACTGGAGTAGGACTACAGAGAAGAAAGAAACTGTTCTTTTTAATACTGGCTCTCCCTACGGATCTGAGTACAATAACACCAGAGGCCCAAAACTTCTGTGCTGCTGTGCGAAGCTAAGACCAGTTGACCCTGAGACCCCTCCCAGGCAAGAAGTTCTACCTAGGAGGCTCACCTTCAGAGGCAGCACCTCTTTGTTTATAGAAAAGAAGGAAGCCATGGCTTTGGTCCAGGAACAAAGACCTGCTACATTCCCACACACACGTTTAGCAGTTTCGATGTTGTAGTCTGGCATTTCAAAGTAAGGACTCAAAAGTTCTATCACTTCTTCATTGATCATGTCTTTTGGGAATTGCTGTGGAAGAAAGAAGTAAAATTACATCAAAACGTTTCTTTCAATGAAGTCACACTCATATGCTCAGTGCAACTGAAACAAGTGTACACCCCAAAGTGAGTGAACAGCCAAGTATTTTGTCACTATCACAGGACACTAAGCAAAAGTCTAAAAGGTGAAAGCACACTAAGGATTATTACTGTTCGAGTACATTTGGTCTTCTCTTAGACAAGAGACACTAACCTTAAACTGAGACCTAAGGAAAGAGCAAATTCATTAGGTGGTGAACATTAATATGGTTATTAGATTTTCTAAATCAACAAAATAAATTTTGTCTTTAATCCTAAATTGATAAAGTACAGTGATATAAGATGAAATATGAAAAGCAAACACATACAGATACATTCAACCTCAGGAAATACAGATTTACCATTTATCTGCAACTAAATGTTTAATGCTTTCAGTGAGATTTATTAAAATTACCTAACATGTAAAGATATTGCTAGGACATTAGACCTCGAAGATGGTGGATTCATTTTTAATCACAGACCTATCAAACATATGAGGGAATTATTATCTTTTATAGGGATGTAATTTTAAAACAGCAACAGAATTGATTGAGAATGCCTTCCTGCATCAGAAAGAAATGACCATTTAAAAGTGACATTTCCTCATCTTAAAAGGGATAATTAAATGTTTTCCAAGTAGAAACAAATTTTGCACCTAATAATTCACGGTATAAACCTTCACAGAACACACAACATAGACAAAAATGTTCTCCTCCAAACTTTGCTTTTTCTTTTAAGAGACTTGACAAATAATGCAGCTAAAAAAATACCTAGGAGCAACAGACAGAAAGGGGACGACACAGGTAAATATCAAGAGCTTCTAAAAGCAGTGGATCTGCCAGCAAGTAAATAAGGTAGCCAATAATCCTGGCCTATGGCCAGGGATCGATCCAAAGTTCAATTCCATTGTCATATAGTCTCATTGATAACTGGGATAAGATGTAGCCTACTAGTTTCACAAGCTGCTTAATGTTACAGCATCTGGAATGCACCTCACAAGACATTCTGGGCCGGGGATACAGCTCAGCAGCACAAGTGCCTGTCTGGCAAGTGCAAGGTCCTAAGTTTGATCCCCGGTACCAAAAAAAAGAAATATTCACAAGATATTCTGGCCATAGCAGTCACCAGAGCAAAGCTGAACTGAAAGCTGAATGAAAGATAATGCTAAAATTATAGCTTGATAGCTGGATGTGCATTGGGTATTTCCAATTATTGTCTCAATATCTAAATATGAATCATAAAACAATGAAAGTCCCAGAAGAAAACTTGGGAGAATCTATTGTTCCTTAGAGGTGAACAAAGATCTGAACCAAACACAGAAACATTATTAAGAAAAGTCTTAAGAAAATTATGTTGAAAGTAAGAACTTCTGCTTATCAAAAGATATCACTATTAGCATGAACAACTAAGCCAGAAGTGGCAGGATATATTTGCAAACACATAAGTGAGAAACATGCTGCATTTCACATAAAAAGACATTTTGTGAAGTAACTGAAACACTGTAGTGCACAACAGACCTACACAGGCACTTATGAAAAGAATTCCCAGAAGTCTCGTAAACCTATGAAAAGATTTTCTTTGTCATTAGTCACCAGGGAAATGAAAATTAAACTCATGATAGTCAGATGTTATGACACTCTCACCAAAATAGCTAAAAGCAGGAAATGGTCAAGATGGGGGGCAACTCATACACTTTTGGTGGGTAGGTAAATTTACACAATGACATTTGAAAACTCTTTGGCGCTATATACCAAAAGTGATGAAATGTGCATAATCTCAGACCCAGAAAGTCTATTCTTGCATATACATCCCAGAGAAATGCACACATACATCTCCAAAATGACCTGTGGATCAATGCCCATAGCACCTTTACTTTTCATGGTCAAAAATTAATAAGAATCAAAAACCCAACAGCAGTCCAATAGATGAACAAAGTAAAGGATATCGCAGTGTTTCATAATGATGATAGTTCACAAAAGCTCAGGAGAAATGATCGTTAAAACTTTAGGAACTTTGAAAACTGGCTAAACAGTCTTTATGATTAAATTATACATTTCTAATGAAATGAATTTTATTTAAAATGAACATAGCACAGTAAAACCTCATCAATTGTATTATTTTATTGCAGTTTACTACTATCTATATTTTTGAGGACCTTCCCATCAATTGTATCTAAATAGCAGAAATACTACGTAGTGGAATGCTGCTCTGCACCTGATCCCAGCTCTGCAATCAGCAGCCCCATTCGGGGAGCGCGGAATTGGCTACTCTGGGAGTGGGTATATGCACTACGGCAAACACTACGAATCAGAGCTTTTTTTCTTTACTTTCATTTTTCCCGTCAAAGAACCGGTTGTTAAACATTCACCGCACACACACCACCATACAGTCTAACACTGGAAAGCTATAAATGAAAGAGAATGCGATATCATGCTTTCCACCTGTAAGAATAAATCCTAAAGAGATGATGAATGAAAGAGGTCAAAAGGAGTTCAGAGGATATGGCTTCATATATGGAAATTTCTAAACACGCAAAGTTATTTATCAGAACAAAAGTCAGGAAAGTAGTTATTTTAAAGGGGGTTATAGACTAGGTTTTCACACAACAGAGATTTCTGAAGTCATGAAATAAATATATACATATGCTTTTTATGTTCATTAATAAGTATATACATATGGAAATCATCATGTGACACTTAAAATTTGTGAATTTCGTTGCATATTTTCTATCTCATAATATTACATAAAATGTAAACTAATACTCAGAAAATCACTTCTGAGACACTCAGTGTGCATACACAGTGGGTCCCTTGTATCCACAGGTCTTGTATCCACAAACACAACCAACTATGTATCGAAAATATTCAGAAAAAGATGTGCCAGTTTTAAACATGAATAGAATTCCTTCTTCTCATCATTCCTTAAGCCAAGAGTCCCCAACCCCTGGGCCATGAACTAGAATCAGTCCTGGCCCATTAGGAAAAGGCCACAAAGCAGGAGGTGAGCAGCGGACAGGTGAGAACAGCTTCTCTGCACTGACAGCTGTTCCCCATCTCTGCCATTATCACCTGAGCTCTGCCTCCTGGCAGTTCAAGGACTGCATCAGATTCTCATAGGAGAACCCTACAGAGAAGGTGCATGTAATTCATCTAGGTTGCAAGCTCCTCTGAATCATCAAAAAGTATCCACCTTACCCCATCTGTGGAAAAACTGTCTTACATAAAACCAACCACTGGCATCAAAGAGGTTGGGGACGGCTGCCCTAAACAATACGGTTAGCTATTTACAAAGCACTACATTATTTTATAACTATAAATATTCCAGATATGGCTTAAAGTATATAAAAAGATGCAAATGATATGCAAATAATATATCAGATATGCAAATGATATGCAAATAATATATCATTTTATATAACAGACTTAAATATTCTCAGATTTTTGCATTCCTGGGATATCTTGGAAACAGTACCCTGAAAATACTCAGGGACGAATGTATTTGTATTCTTACGCATACAATATATATATTTTTTTTTTCCAGTACCGGGGATCAAATTCACAACCTCGCACTTACCAGGCAGGTGCTGTGCCACTGAGCTAAATTCCCAGCCCCTATGTACACAATATAAACACACATATATATATAGTCTCCTTAAAGTAATTTTCTAATTTCTGTTAAAACATGTAATCACTGGTAATGCTTTCATATACCTAAAAAGAAAAATTTTATTTCTGGTAACAGCTATAAAACTCATGACAGCTTATATCTGAAAGAAAAGATTCTACACTGAAAAAAATTCATACATGTCTAAAATATCTAGATAGAATGAATTCTTTTTAGAAATTTGTTCTACTGAAGGACCTAGCTACTCTGGCATACTGAGTCCTTAACTCAGCTCCTCATTATTGAACTACCAACCTGTAAGTTCTGTAAAAAGTTCCCTGCAGTCATCAGTTTTAAAGATTCCTGCCAGGAAGGAATGGTGCAGCTTTTTTCCAGGTCAATTTTCACCACGTTGACCTTTCTTTGAAACAGCAGCAGCACACAGTCCATGATCCGCATGATGAGGTGAGGGGGTCTCCCCAACGTGCGGACGGTGGCAATGTCAGCAGGCTTGATGGTCTGAGGAAGTGAAAGGAGATGTCATCCAACCTCAGAGAAGAAAGTACAGACAGACAAACCTTTCATGTCTGAATTCTGATGCTTCAACAAAGACAGAAAATGCTTTCAGTCATGAGGTCTGGAGGCATCTTTAATCTCCCTAAAAAACACATGTCCTAAAAAGCTCAAACTTTTATACCTCAAACTGACAATGAGAGGAGAACAATGTTGGTGAACAGATAAGGAGCTGTGTCTTCTCTAAAATTGTACAGACTGCTTTGGGTCAGAAAAAAGAAAACTGTACTCTGGAAAAAAAAAAAAAGAATACTCAATATTTAAGTAGATACCAGATTCAAAACCAGGAGAAAATATTGTATTTGCGGTGTTGGTTTTTTTTTTTACTCATTAGCTATGTAGGTCAAGAATCTGCTTCTGTCTTAGGCAAGTGTGACTGTCCCTGTGGACTGACCCCAGAGGGTGGCCACAGGGCAGACAGATTGAATAATTAGAGGTTTCTGAGCTGGGAACTGATCTTTAAGTGAAGGGACTTGAGCAACATGAGTTTCATAAGGCTCTGAGAAAAGTTCCATCTCATTTCTAGTAGGGATGTTTGTATAGGGTAAATTATTTAATAATCACACTTATTTTAGTTGATGATAACTGCTGTATCCCTTAAACTTTTATGAAATATGTATGGGAAAATTATGATCTATAACAGTCCAAGGCAGTAGTAGTTCTAGGGGAGCAATGGCACATTTCATTCCTTCCAGGTCCTGAATACCTTCCACCTTGTTTGCATTTTGATTCCCTCCTGTCACAAGAAAAGAACCAATGACCTTCTCATCAAAGTTCATGGTCTTTCCTCCAAAGACTGAAAAAACACACACACATTGAACTTGATAATTCAGAATATAACCATGTACCATGGAAAGGTTTGTTTCAGTACTCTAGCACTTGTGAAAACTAGAGAAAGAAGTTAGGGGAGATTTGGGGCAAAGAATTGAAAATGACTGACCTTTGTTTGATACATGCTATAGCAAAAAGAGGAGAAAATAAAACAACAGCCAGTGGGGAGATGAGGATGAGGTTAAATTCTACAAAATGTTAAGGACTTGGCCATGCTTTTTGGCTATAGCTTTTAAAAAAAAAATTTCACACAGAGTTGTGCTCATGGTTAGTGGCAGTGTAATATCTGGGATTCAATTTGGTTCAGTAAAGTGCTGAATTCCTCTTTTGTCTGCAGGGAGAATAATATGACTGTTATGTCATCTCTTATATACCATGGTAATACATTCATTTAACACCTGGAGCTATTTTTTACTTTTTCTTCCGTTGGTTAAGGTCAGATGTAAGCATTAAGCTAGGAAGGACACATTATTTTCTGTTACCTTATTTATTATATGGATTAATTGTGGCCTGATGCCAAAATAAGCATTAAGCTAGGAAGGACACATTATTTTCTGTTACCTTATTTATTATATGGATTAATTGTGGCCTGATGCCAAAATATTAGTTTGGATATGCTCAGATAGAACCTCACTGTGAGATTTCAAAAGCTACCAAAAAACAGTAAGATGGAGGCAGGGCTAGTGAAGGGTATTAGAGAACTCTCTCCTATCTATGCTGCTATGACTTGGATGCTGAAGGTCCCTCAAGGCCCATGTATTAAAGGCTTGGCCACCAGTTTGGCCCTACTGGGAGGTGAGAGACCCTTCAGCAGGAGGAGCCTAGTAGAGCCTCCAGGCCTTTCCCTCTTCCTTTGCTTCCTGGCCATGAGATGAGCTGTTTTGGTCCACCACATTCTCACAACAGGCCCAAAGCAACAGAACCAACTGATCCCAGATTGGAACCTCCAAAACCGGGAGTCAAAATGAGCCCACTCTCTTTACCAGCTGATAATGTCAAGTATTTTATTAGAGTCACTGAACACTGACTAACACACAGCCCATCCCCTTGCCCTGCTCCCACATGTTTCCGCACTAAGGATTACATGATGCCGCCTCTTTTGGAGGTAAAAGGCACTAAATTGGAACACTGGAAAACATTTTAAAAGAGATACCAAGCCTCTTAATTCTTATGGAAAGGTTGGTCTTTCAGGCAAGACCTGAGATGCCGTATGCTCTAGTCCTATAGTTCCATTAAGAACCATGAATTCAGCAAATTTTTCAAAGTTTCATTGTACCATCACCATCTTCACTGCGTTGGTCAGAGACTCTCAGTTCAGCTAAGGAGGGACATGAGATGTTCACAAATCTAAGAAATCACAGACCCTGGGGGAGTTCGGGATTAAGCATGACAGCAGAGCCAGTGCACAGAAGAGTGGAGAAACATTTGGAAATCACATGTTACATGCAAGAGTAGTGAGGAAAGTTGGAGAGATAAATGAGAAGGTAATATTTTTATTGTCTCAAAGGGGCAGAAACACACATTATAGGTTGATGCAAAAAGACTACACTTGGATTAAAAAGGTTTAGAAGTGTTTCAAGCATCATGCTGAAGAACTGGTAAGGAGACGTACTTACATTAACAAGTAATGATGTATGCTCAACTGAGGTTCAATGACTTGACTTAGCAAGGGACAGAGACCTGAATTTCATTTCCCAGCCCTTTCTAAACCAAGAGTCAACAGCATTAGGGAGAGTGAAGTAAAAGTGATCTTAAACTGAGACCAAAGCAAATCTTAAATTGAATCTTCAACCTTAGAACAGCTCTTTAAGGTGTGGTTTACTTCTCTACACACATTGCATTTTTCAGCCTACAACCTCCTTTGTAACTTCACCATTTCCATAGCTGCTGCAGAACTGTAAGGACTGTTGGGTCCTCCTCACGCTCTGTGATTAATTTGCTAACATTAAACCACTATGTATTTAGACAATTCATGGGTAGCCTCAGAAAAGTTACATATTACAGATCACCTACTTCAAAGTTCTTAGGGAATGAATGCAGAAACATTATTTCAGAAAGTTCATGTTACTTTTCCAATGTGACATAGCTTTTTCATGACAGAGTTTAAGTGAGAACCCAGGATTCCTGACCACCACTCTATAAAAATGCTCATTACTCTTGAGTATAGAGAATAAGATTAGTGTTATTTGCACATGCAAATCTCCAAGGCACTAATAAAGTCAACATTACTCAAAACCATTGCAGTGACTAGAGCTATGGTCTGACCCTGTAAAATATTTATTAGCAACTTATTTTTTCCTTCCATCTTCCTGCTAAGCCTAAATGTACATCAGTCATATAGATATACCTGCAATGCTGCTTCTGCTTCTTCTAAAGCTGGCTTTGCTGCTTTTAGTTTCTCTTCAGCAATCACTTTGTCTTTTGAGATGCTGTCTACAATGACCTGGGCTTTGTCCTTCACCTTCTGTACCTCAGCCTTGACTTTTTCAGCAGCTTGTGCTTTCATTGTCACTGCTTTTAAGACCTAGTTCAATATAAGACAATTTTAAAAACTCATCAAAAATGGCCAAAGATCCAGCTAGAAACTTTACATTCTTACTTTAATTTGTTGATTTTGTCCACCAATGCAATTTTTCATATATAAAGTAAAGAGTATGTTACTCTAATGGAAGTAAACATCTGTAATTCCATGGGCATAAGGTAGTGAATATGCAAGCATCATTAACATTTGTGAACTGGGAATTCCAAAGGAACATGGAGCATGTAGGAATGTCCACATACCGTGTCAGCTTTATCATTGGCCACGTGCAACTCCTTTTCCTTTATTTCCAGTTCTTTGCTCAAGGCTGCCACAGACTCTGAAGCTTCTTTTAGTTTTTCCAATCCTGTATTCATTCTGGGTTGAAAATGCAAGCGAGCAATGTTCAAATCTGTGGTGCATGACCATGTGGTGCAACAGCTGTCTCATAAAATGAGTACTGTAGTAACAGTCGCATTTGAAGAATGAGTATGCATGCACACAGAAATCCCAACTGGACTCCACAGAAAGGATGTAAGTCCAGGTGAAGTTTCAGAATGCATGTCTTTACAGACCACACAGGGAAGAGTGAGCCCACCAAGACGTACTCATGACATGGGGAGTGGTATAGTAGTGTGTTATGTAGGAAATGTGCTCAACGACATTAAGCATAATGAAAACAGACTTCAAATCCTGGAAGACTCATTCTGGAAGAAGGAAAACAAATAACTGCTGTTTTTCAAAAGAATCCAATGAAGTTAAAAGAAGAAAGACAGGTTCAAGAAAAGAAAACAAACTTAAAGCCATCAAGACAGCCCCAGGAAGGAACTGGCTGCCTGCTTGAATCTGAAATAATGTGTTCTTATGGGTGGAAGCTCTAGGAGACATTTAGTCCCATCACTCATCCAGGGATCCCTCCCTTGGCAACCCTGGGTGAATGTGGCTACATTCAGGCAGACCTGAGCTTACAAAAAACACAAGGCAAAGCAGTGAAGTCTGGAACAAAACTGAGTGAAACATGCATTGCACTATGCAGTGAATGCATGAACAAGCCAGGCTTTTCTACCTCAGTCATTCTGAGGGGATGAGATGGGGGAGGGCATGCCTTCATCCTCAGCTTCCTTGCAGACCTATTATTCCTATCTTTCTTTCATTTGTATCACAGAAGAAGGAAGGCAGACCACATAAAATTTGGCAAATTTATTCTATGAGGCAACAATAAAATCCCCAGGAACCATGGGATAGTGCCCAAAGTGGGCTCTAAAATAGAGTTTCTCAGCCTCAGCACTATTGATATTTTGGGCTAGATAATTGGTTGGGAGGGGTCTTCTTCCCTGTGGGATGTTTAGCAACATCTCTGTCCTCTGTCCAGTAGCTGCCAGTGAGCATTTGCCCCACTACCCTCACTCCATTTGCACAAAACTAAAATGTCTCTGGTCACTGCAAGATGTACAGAAATGGCACTTCTGTGACGTTAAGAATGATTTGCTTTAAAATAACTTTTATTTGAAGTTCACACTTACCTGTTGGCCAAGGTCTGCACTTCTACATGCTTCTCTCCATAAATAAATTTATAGCTCTGAATGAAGGAAAGGTATGATTTGGGCGTCACATGGGTAGAACGTCTGAATCTCTGGAAATAATCCACACACTTCTCAGCCACCCCATCCTGGAAAGAACCCATGCAGCACACCACCTCCTTCTTGGTTTCCAAACTACAGTCAATATCATAGGAAGAGAGGAAGTGTTCAGACACTGGAAGGAATAAACAGGACAGAGTGTGAAATATTCATGTGAATTGCCATTTTAAAAGTTTCCTGGCATTATTTTAAAAGACAGACATTTCCTAGGCCTGCAAACCACTTTTGTAGCCCCAGCTAAATAGATCTATGTCAGTACTTTTGTCCCCAGGCCTGAGACATCAACAATTTTATTTTCCCTTTCATATATAAAACTTCATATAGAAAAGACTTTAAGCCTACCATTATTCTCTGTTTTCTTGGTTGTTGTGTTTTCTGGTGCTACCCAGCTGCAGGATCTGGTCAGCAGCCAGCCTGTTTTATGGTTTACATAAGGATGAAAGTGATACAAATAACTCAGACATCAGTGCCCACCTGGTACTCCTATTTAACAATCCCATTTATTTTGTGACTCAGAACTTGTCAGTCGCTTAATTCCTCCAGGTGTTGACTGCTTTTGCCACCTGAAAACGTTCATCAGTAAAATATTTTGTGCCCATCTTGCTCTTAGATGTGGCAGCTGGCCATCTGTGGTCAGTTCTAGTTTACAACACCAGACAGAAACCTTTGAGTAAAAATCTCTTTGAAACCTTGACCCTTCCCACAAGAACAAATAATGGACCAGTTCTAGGACAGCATTTCTTGATGTACACATAAGCTATAATTTAAGAGCAAACCAATTACTACATAAATACTGAGTGTCCACCACATATCCCCACTCTGAGGAGTGCTACAGAGTGAGAGAAATATGCAACTCGGTCTCAATACCATGGAATTTACAAGAGTTATGGTATAATATAAGTTAAAATTTTCACAACCATTTTTATGTACCTTGGTAAAAATAGCCTACATCCATTAAAGCTGTGAATAGAAATATGGTCAATAAAAACGGGAGGGAAAGAAAAAAGAATCAAGGAATGAAGCCTCATAGGTAAAAGCACAGCTGTAAAAGAATGGTAACTTTTCACCACTAGTAGTTGTTTACTTGATTAAGATTACAAAAGTAGGGGCTGGGGATTTAGCTCAGCAGCAAAAGCGCCTGCCTGGCAAGCGCAAGGTCATGAGTTCGGTTCCCGGTACTGGAGAAAAACCAAAAAATAAAATAAAATAAAATAAGATTACAAAAGTTACTGAATACTGGTAGTATAGATCATTCACCAGTTTGGTGAAAAATGTAATTTAGCATACAATGAACGGCAATGGCCTTTACCATATAGGGAAAAGTAATAAATTAAGACACTCAGAATAAGTAAGTTTTATATGTGAATTAAATACACATTAAAAAACAAATTAAATTTTAGGAAGTTTCTGTCTTGACAACATAAACTTGGAAACACAGAAGCAATTCTTCCTATGACAAATTTACTTTAATTTATTTATTTTTAATTTATTTGTCTATTTGTTCATAGTTCTAGGGGTTGAGGCCAGGGCCTTGGGCACACTAAGAAAACTGTCTACCACTGAGCTGTATTCACAGGGCTTTAATGACAAATTTTTGTAGGTACTAACTACAATGACTGCAGTAGTCACATGTGGCAGGAATGGCTTTACTTGGTGTGACAGGACATCTTCAGAGAAGTCCCCACTTTGTGAAAACTTCCTTGTCTTATCATATAGTGATTTCTCTCTTAATTAAAAGAAGTATAAATAAGGATAACTTTTTTCTTCACATTGCAAGCTGTCTTTCTGCTTCTCCAAAATATCAGAGAGTAAAAATAAGATAGATACTGAGTATATTTTTCCACAGATTCACAATTGCTGGTGCAGAGCTACACCTGGAAGACATCTCTCACAAGTAGTTATTTCCTAAGGTTTATAAGTACTAGATAAAGGTTCTCTCCATAAGCTATTTATAAGCATCAACCCATGAATTAAACTTAAAAAAATAGAACATGAGAAGACTCAAAAAAGATGCAACCACAGACTTCTAGCTCACCAAAGGCAAACCCAGGGGCAATGAGATGGAACAATTTGCAAGTCACACAGCTGGGCTCTCTGAAGTGGTAACAGTGGAAGTAACAAAGCAGATGAATGAAGCTCTGGAGAAAGTTAAATCAGAAATAATTTCTCAGATAACTACAGAGAAGTGACCATAATGAAAGACATGCTTTGGGACTCTAGAGCAGAAACAGATTTTAAAAAGTTGATGAGCTTAGGGAAAATGATGGAAACCATGAATGCCCAACATAGGAAAGAAATGGAATTCATGAAAGAGATTTAAACAGATATCCAAAGGATTAAATATTGAACGTATGCCAGGCAGAATGAGCCAGTGTTAGGACAGAATATCAGATAGAGACAACACGATAGCAATTTAGTGGTTATGAAAAGAAAGATTTCTAAAAAATAGCAAGAAAGCTTGAAAAGTCACTCCAGCTGCTCAGTGATAAAGGAGAATAACACAAGACTGATTGGAGTCAATAATAAGGCAGGAAATAGCACAAATGACATAAAACCACCTGCTCACAGAAGTAATGGCAGAAAACTTTCCAAGCAGGGAAAAAGAATTTGATATATAGTGAGACATATAGAACTCCAATTGGCCATGATAAAAAACTATATCAATGCATATGATGGTCAAGATTCCATAAATTCAACACAAGAACAGAATATTAAAAGCTATCAGAGAAAAGAAACAAGTCATCTATAAAGGAAAGCCCATCAGATTCACAGCAGACTTCTCAACACAAACCATCAAAGCAAGAAGAGCTTGGAATGAATTACATTAAGCCCTAAAAGAAAACATCCTACAACCTGGATTGATGTACCTCACAAAACTATCTTTCAAAACTGATGGAGAAATAAGATACTTCCATGACAAAGAATACCTGAACAAATTTATGAACACTAAAACTGCACTCAAAAATATTCTGAAGGACACTCTAGAAAGAAATAACAAGGATTATAACTCCAGGAACTCCAAAAGAATGAACACACCAGGGAAGGCAAGCAATTAAATATGGGGGGAAAAGGAACCAACAACAGGAAAATAACATGACAAGGATAAGTCAACACATAACATCATAAACCTCAATGTTAATGGTCTCAATTCAACAATCAAAAGAAACAGACAGGCAGAAAAAAATCAAGAATCAAAGTCCAATAATATGCTGCATGCAAGAAACACATTTAATTCAAAAAGAAATACATAGAAAGTCAAAAGATGGAAAATAATACTTCATGCAACAGGAACAGAGAATAAAGCCTGGGTAGCTAATCTATTTGCAGACAATGTGGATTTCAAAAGAAGACTGATTAAGAGAGACAAAGAAGGTCATTACATCATTATAAAGGAAACAAGCCAAGAGAAAGAGATAACAATCATAAATATATGAATTAAATGCCAATGCATCCAACTATATAAAACAAATAATAACAAACATGAAAAATCAAATAAGCATTAATACATTTGTGATGGGAAAACCTCAATTCCCACTGTCACAAATAGATCAACTAGACAAAAACTCAACAACAAAATATCAGAACTGAACCAAATTGTTTTAAAAAAATGAAGTTAGTAGATGTCTACAGAGTGTTCCACCCCAGAACTTCAAAATACATATTCTTCTCAGCTGCACATGGGACATTCTCCCAAACAGACCACATACTAGCTCATAGAACATGCTTAAATAAACGGAAAGAAATTGAAGTCATCCTATGCTTACTATCAGACCCTAATGCAAGGACTGCAAGTCAATGACAAAAGAAACCACAAGAACTATAAACATGGAAATTAAATAACATCCTCTTGAACAACCAATGAGTCACAGATGAAATTAAAGAAGAAATTAGACAGTTGCTACAATTAAATAATAATGCCAGTACAACATACTGGAACTTATGGGACAGAGTGAAAGAAGTCCAGTGAGGGAAACTAATAGCAGTCTGCTATGGTTTGTGTCTGGGTGTCCCCCCAAAGTCACATGCAGTCATTGGGTGGGCTTTTAGAGTTTATGATTGACTCATGGTCCAGTGTTGGAATTATGGATGTGAATGCTACACCTGTCAGAGTGCCAGTAGTTTACATAGTTACATGTAAGGGAGGAAAAGAGGCTGCTTGCCAAGTATGGACTGAAACCTCCACAAACTGTAAGCTAAATAAACCTCTCCTTCCTTAATTTCTGGTGTCAGGTATTTTGTCTCAGCAGCGAGAGAAAAGCAACCAAGACACAGTGATACTCATATCAGAAAAATAAATTAACTCAAATAAACAACCTAATATTGAACCTTAATCTTCTAGAAAAAAAGAAGGGAAAGCCCAGCCCAAAGCTTATATGAGGGAGGAAATTAGAAAAATCAGAGCAGAAATTAATGCAATGAAGAATAGAAAACAAGAAAAAGGATCAGTGAATCAAACAGTTGGTTCTTTAAAAGATTAAATAAAATGGACAGACCATTAGCCAAACTTATCAAACAAAGGAAAGAAAAGACTCAAACCCAGGCAGCGAGTTCTCCAGGAGCGGCAGGGCTCCTGGGTCCAAGTGTGGGCTGGACGCATACCACCACGATTCCCAGCCAAAAAGC